TTAAATTTTAATTAAAAAAGATAGGTGTGTGAAGCTTTCTTTTACTTGAAGAATTTAGAATTTACTTGTCTTGAAATATTTCTTAGCTTATTTTGGCTCCAGTGCAAAGACTACCAGTGTTTTGAAATGTAGCGTTTATATCAAATTCTCAAACTCATTAATAATTCATAAAGAAAATTCAAAGGAAATTAATGTTTAATGAGTGTTTGGATATCAGGTGAAAAACTGCTCAGTTTTGCATCCTTAATTTCTCCTTCAAAAATGATTTTGTTTGCGAAGAAATATCAAACATTCGACACAGTGTTTCATCACCAGATGAAACACCTCGAAGTTCGTCAAAAATACTCCGCTGCGCGTCGTTTTTTCAAATCTCTTCTCGGTGTTCCATCTGGTGATGAAACACTGCATCTCATGTTTGATATATTACTTCTCAAATTCATTAATAATTCATTAAGAAAATACAAAGGAAATTAATGTTTAATGAGTGTTTGGAAATCGGATGAAACACTGCTTAGTATTTGCATCCTTAATTTCTCATTCAAAAATGATTTTGTTTGAGAAGAAATATCAAACATTCGACACAGTGTTTCATCACAAGATGAAACACCTCGAAGTTCGTCAAAAATACTCCGCTGCGCGTCGTATTTTCAACTCTCTTCTCGGTGTTTCATCTGGTGATGAAACACTGCATCTCATGTTTGATATATTACCTGAAAGATTCCTGACTGCGTGTATTTCTTCGGTGCATGAGCTAGACAAGCCGTAATCCAGTCAATAGCCGTCGTGTACGAACTCACGAAAAGAACTCAGGAGATGCTGTTCGCCAATTGGGCTCAATAATACAAAGCATTTTTTGTGCCCAATCAGGAGCCGGCATTCGCTTGACCGTTTGGAAATGGTTCGGTGAGAGTCGGTACCCAGGGGCTTTTCCACCTGTGCTTGAAAACTTTTGTTGCGCCTTTTCTCCCGGCCCGACTGACCGTCCCTGGGTCTCCGAGGATGGATTGGCTCAAATCCCCCAGTTAACCAGCCAGCGTTGACCAAATTTGGAAAACGCTTGCATTTATCATCCAAAGTAAATTCGGTAAGCGTCAATAATTTTTCTCAGAAATCAAATGTACAGTTGAACCTAGAACGAGAAGTCCGAAGACTACAGCAAAGCTGATTTAAAACAACGTGTATTATTTTTTATAACAATATTTCGGCTGGCCATACCAGCCTTCTTCAGGTTTACAGATGTTACTGCACTTATGTAGCAATCACAATATTATATAGATGGAGAATCTATGTAATATTGTGATTTGGCTTTATAAAAAACTTTTTTAAAAATTTGATTTAGGAAAATACAGTGCGAGATAGCATGTGACAACTGATTGTGGACCAGTAATGCTGCTTCAATCGCGTGTAAATAAAGTTATGTTTCTGTTAAGAGTGACAAACCTCTGTTGAGCGGCCAGTCTCCATATAAAGAGGCTACTTCCAAGTACCCAGCGGGTGGCCGCTTAATGGAGGTTCAACAGTAATATATAGATTTAGCCAGGGCCAAAAGCGAAGCTCCCGTAAATGAATTCATAATTTAAATCAAACAATAAACTTGTACTCCACAGATCAGGGCACATTCATGTGACTTCTGAGGCAAAGGCTAAGTGATTTTAGAGAAAAATAATTTGACAGTCCAAGAGTGAAACAAATTTTACATCGAGTTAATAGTCTTATTTGTACACCCAAAAATAGCAATCATGTTCGATCACAGTAGATTAGGCCTGGAAAACAAATAGACCTATTCGTGTATTGTACCGGAAGTCGTGTTTCGTCCTTTCAGCGCGCTTTCCCTTCCCGTTCTGTTGCTAAATCAGCCTGGAAATATAATTTTAAGAAACACACGCGCTGCGATAGTCCTTGGTGGCAGCGATTTTACACGTTGTATTCCTCTGTCTAAAAGGTAGGCCAAAATAAAAAAATCAGGCCAGATTTTTGTGTTCGACACGTTTACTTTACAAGTAAATCTTGGCGACGAATCTGGTGGCGTATAAACCAGCCTTTTAAGGTGACTCGACCCAGTTTTTTTTGAGGGGTACTATCCTACTTTGAAGCTCTCTGGTATCCCCTCCTTTACTTTTATCGTAAGTCTAACACATAGAATCGATAACATATAGATCAATCTACAATATAACATAAAATTTTTAGCGATCGGAGTAAATGTCACGTGGTTATAATGCCACGCCCCTTTAAGGTCTGAGTCGAAAATCTGCTGTTGCAGGCATTTTTTCGTGAAAATCTCTCGGCTACACATAGTGAGCATTAGTGCCTTGCACTGAACAGAGTTTCACCAAAATCGCAAAGACCCAATTCGAGAAATTCAGCGGTTTCCAAATTTAGGTCATAATTTATGCGAAAATGATAAGCAAACTTTCCACGGATTATATCTAATAAACTATGAGATTCATCTCTTTATTTTGGGCATCGTTATAACAGATGGGTCCTTGCAAGTCAGCAAAAC